TCGATAATCCGGTCGTTGCTCTTTCCCACTTTCCTTCTCGTCCAACCAAGAAAAAAAAAGTGGAACTCGGGGGAGATGTTTATTATCTTCATCTCCAGCCCTCTCTTCCCGTAAACTGCCTTGTAATTACGGCGGCACCATTCAGCTGCATGCCTCGCTATCGGCGTGATTCTCCCAAGCCCCGGGCGGATCACGCCTCCGGCCCCCAGCGCTTACTGAGTAAAGAGACGGTGCCGCACCGTTGAAAACTCGCCCCCAGATCGTGGAAAAATTAATCCCAAATTGGACGCGCAACATCGTGCGTATAAAAAAAAAGCAAGCGAATCGCGCAGTAGATTTACAGACGACGGTGTTGGTTGCATGTGAAATCTTGAACGGGCTTCTTTTTGTCCGATGTGACTGGTGCGTTACCATGGTGTTCCTTTTAGCTTTGCCCTCTTGTTTTCCTCAGCACACCGCCAAAAGTTGTCCCGTGGTGAACGGAAACTGTTCGGTCTATAAATTTGCTATTTTCCCAATAAAAAAAATCAACCATTGAAAGGCAGCGGCAGTGTCAGTCTTACAATAAGCACGTTTTCCCATGGCCGTGTATTGTCAAGCTTTAATGTATTTCCCATTAGACTTCCGGTGGCGGTTTTTTAGCAGCTTTTAAGGTCTATTTACATCTAAATTGTTGACAAAATTTTTGTCATTTGTGACAATGATGCCTCCTGTGACGATTACAGTATTCTACTTAGTCGGGATATCACAAAGATCTACAAACCATCCGTTAAAAGCAGAATGGATTTGGTATTGTGAGGCATAGTATCCTTCCAATTCCCCAGCGAATGCATTCAGAAAAGAAGAAAATATTAAAAAGGCATAAAAAAGGCATTTTTTAACAGAGGCAACTGTGTTGCTATCACTCAAGTGCAATTTTTTTTAAAATTATTAATGCCATTTTTTTCGAACGAAACATTAAAACATAATTGGCTTTGGTTATCTTAAGCAAGTGAACTTTGGCATTGAAGTGATAACCTTGGTCTTGTGAGGGCGCTAATTAATTGCTACTTTACTTTTTCAGACTTTCAACTGCTCCTCGTCTGTGGAGGGCGCTACAGGAGGAAACGGTAATGTGAAAGTATTGGGTAAAATGCAACGGATGTGCCATCGGTTTGCTTTAGGGTTTGGAGGATGCAGTGGCTAAAAGATGCCCACCCAATGGAACTCATCAAAATCAATTTGATTTCAATTTCAATTCAAGAACAGTTATTTCCATCAAGTGCAAAACATAGAATAATCACGGGAACAAGAAGTGAAAGATTGAGGAATGCTTTTAAAAAGCCGACACTTATTGGGGCATGCCTTACACAGATGGGCCTACAATTGAAAAAACATTGATAATTTCAAAGTAATTATAGAAAGACAGACAACTAATAGATAGGTACAACAAACACAAACAAAACATGTACATTGTCGGTAAATGCTAGGGGGACGGAGCAAAAAGCTGGTCATGATGGTGAAAGAAAAAGAAAATAATACTGAATGATGGGATAGTTCTACTTTTCCAAACAATATTTTTTTGTAATTTTTGAAGGGACGAATATTTTTTCGATGGCTGCAAATGCCCTTAAAAAAAGACATTTATTTTGGATTGCTTTTGCGCGTCTACACACAAAGAGAGCCGTCTGAATTATTGTCAGAGCACAAAAAAAATATCAAAATTTGCTATGTGATCATTCCATAACTCAGTGTGGGCAGATTTTTACATTTCAATGTCTTCTTCAAAATTGAATAACTTCTGTATTGGCATAAAAATAGCAAAATGAAATTCTATGATTTTTTTCGGGGGGGGGAGATTAAAAATCACAAAAATCAAAGCAGATGCCTCATTAAAAACAACCATGATATACATACTAGTATAGACAGTTGAAAAACCTTTTAAAAAAATATGTCGTGATAGCAGCTGATCAGTCCAGTTCAGAAGACAAAAATAGTTTGGCAAAAACAGTTTCAATTCCGAAACAAGGCCGTTTTTATATATACTGAGTCGTGATTAAATGTTTTGGTCTAAATCAAAAGGCAAGTAAAGTTTCTTCATGTGACTCCAAATTGTAGGCTTACTTGACCATTTGAAAGCTTTGTGTGAGGCTAGTCAGGTCCTCTTTGTGCAGTTTCATTATTGCTGCGATTGTTTTCTTGCATACGTGACTCACACAGTTGCTCATTAACAGGTTTTTTTTTTAAAGGTCTTTACACAAAACATAGAAATATTTTGTGGATCTTATTGTGTGGAGTCAACACGTGGTTTTTTTTTTAAATCAGAGGAAACAAGTTAAAAGTTTTCCGAAGAAGGAGGCCAACTTACTTGCACTGTTGCAGGACTCTGCGAGTTTAGTTCATGTCCCTAAAAAGAGGCAACAAAAAATTGAGTTGTGAGGGGGAAAATCCTCTTTTGATGCATTTACAATTTTATTTTGCAATGATGCCTGGGCGTCAAAAATGAACAGATATAGGCCCCATACATGGGCCACTAGTTGTGCGTTGCAGCTATACAGGAATCACTAAGAATGGCTTATTGTCATTCTAATATACAAGTCAGTTGTCTGATGCTGAACGCGACCTTGATAGTGTCATCCGCCGCCCTAGCCTTGAAAAGGCACTGGTGACGGTTGAATAATTTACATGTACATATGTACATGTATACACCGTATTTCTTGTTATCGTCACAAATGTACGTTTAGATGTCTGTTATATTCAAGGTTTCCAAAGACCTACGTTACGAGTACAAAATCGACAGTATTTATTTGTTTATTGTTTATGTCTTTATTTATTAAATTTCTTTACCCAGGGTATGCCCAGACAGTTAAAAATTGGTTTCCATCGGGGGCCCTGCATTCATTTCAAGTTGCAAAATAAAGTTAAAGCAAAGTAAAACTCAAAAGGAAAAGTGCATTGGTGGACTATACTAGGAACATTGGGTCGTATTAGCTAGCAAATGCTAGGAAGTTTAAGCAAAAAGTAAAAGCATTTACTTAGGAGTAAAAGCATTAAGGATAAGCAAATGCTTGATTCCGTATGAATAATAGTTTTCCTTAACTGTTCAGCATTTACTACACAGCAGGTAGCAAATGCTTCTTGCTGTTGAATTGTGCGAAACTGTATTAGGGACATCAGCTAACTCGTACGTACGACTTATAACCCGTACGTACAACTTATATCTCGTACGTACGACTTATATGTCGTACGTACGTACGACTTATATGTCGTACGTACGAGTTACAATTCATATGTCGTACGTTCGACTTACATGTTGTACGTACGACATATAAGTCGAACGTAAGACATATCAATTGTAACTCGTACGTACGACATATATCTCGTACCTACGACATATAAGTCGTACGTACGACTTATACCGGAAATACGCCTCATTCGGTAACAGGTGCACAAGTTTGTCAGCCGTCTTTGTATATGGCTTTTGCCGACCGTTTATTGGAAGGTAAGATTAAATTAGATGGCTTGCCTTCAGTTTGCTTTTGCTCAGATTGGTGTCACTGTGGGCGCTATCAGAGTTCGAACAAACGTAGATGTTATATTTTCGACGAAAGCATTGTAAAAGAAGTCCCTACATTCTTCGAAGGGGCTGTTAAAATAAGAACACAAGATAAGAATACTGTGCGGCATTTAACGATGTAATGGAACTAAAAAAAAAAATCCAATCTCTATTGTTGATATGATTGGGTTATAAAATAGAACGATTTTCAACAATTATGAGGTTACATTTAAAGTATGTCCAGTATTTTTGATTTTTGATAGGCAGTAGAAAAAACCGTCCCAATCTTTTCTATTCCTGATTGTCTCCTGGATACCACTAGTCGTTGCTCTAGGCCTATTTCTAAGGCGAATTTGTAGCAGCAAGGTATTAGTTTCGATTGTGAAATAATACAAAAACATATTAGTGCCCTGAAGATGGACCCCGCCGAGTATGCCTCATTTAATGAGGCATATGCCCTTAATTTAGGCTGACATAATATTAAGAATGCCTTTGTTTGGATGTATGTATGTTTTCTTGTTTGTTTAAGTATCAACTGATTGCAAGCAGAAAGAACTAAGTGTTTGGTCCTATTTTCTATATTTTTTAGGCGTAACCATTGTGATACCTTGGCGGATGAAAAACACTTTCATGGCAGGAAGGAGCATAGCTAATCAGCGCATAGAAGCTTGGTGGTCAATCCTCCGCAAGGCATGCTCCCAGTTTCGGATGAACATACTCGGAGAGCTTTAGGATGATGGCGAGTTCTCAGGAAATTTGATGAACAAAGAGCTGGTACCGGTTCGCTTTTGTTTCATGCGAATGATCCAGGTAGGAATACAGGAGCAAATGAATACTGAGAGCAAAAAAGACGAAATCGTTAGAGTTTGGAACTACCATCGTCACCTGTTTCGCAACAGTACTGTACAGGGAGACCAGCTGTGATGTATGCTTCGCCAGAGATTTATAACGCAAAGAGATCAACTCATGGCAGTGGATGTGGATGATGCAGAAGTCTGCATCGGTGACGCGAATGCACATTCATTAGTGATGGGCAGGACTTGTTTGATCTATGTGTTGAACTTATGGAAGAGAATAATCTTGATCCACCAGCCACTGTACAAGATGTACATCATGTATTGAGATACGTCATCTTGCCGCTTCTGTAAATCATCCATGAAAAGAAGTGTATAACTATACAAGCATCTTGTCTGCGTGTTACGATTTCATTTTTCTTCCTCCCCAAAGCAGGGTTTCAGCTGTCATCAGTCGCCATTGTCGCCAAATTGCGAACATTTACAAACTCACGCTGTAATCCTGCGCGATTGGCGAGGAAAGATTGTATTGAGCACTGAATTAAAAAGTATGTGGCTGCAAACGAAATTGCTTTTATTTTGAACCTTCTTTTTAATTTGCCAAAAACGACACAAACTTTAACCCACCTCCTGACCCTCTAAAGATTACATGAAGAAATCCTCAAATGATGATCCTTAACAATGAAAGATCCAATTATCTGGACTTTTAATGATCTGATTATTGGAAAGCAATAAACCAGGAAATAATTAAAGGAACAAAACTTGTGTCTCGCAATATTCTTTTAAGTTAGGACCCTTGGAGCACACTAATTTGTTTCAGTCTTATTGTTGTGGCCCATGTATTCTTATCTTCGCATATAACGCATATTTTGAGCTTTGACACAAATTAAACATAATGACTGAATTCGAATTGCAGTTTTGATGCACAGTCCTTTTTATTTAAGCGTAGAAAAGAAACAATAACATACAAATCACGGCAGCCTCTTACAAAAAAAAATACACCAAATAAAATAATAACCACGTGCCACTTTCCCTCAAGGGTACCCGGGGAGCCGGGAAAAGTGAAAAACGTGAAAAACAGTGAAAACGAACAGTTAGCAAAACATGTTGGTCAGGTATATTCAGAAACTGAAATAGGTTAATGTTGACAATGGAAATCAAAAGCTGTGGCACTGCATCATGCTTTCAGAGTTTTTTACTAAATAATTTGAAAGAAATGGCAAAAGCAATAGCAATAATAGTTATACTTGACTAGTAACTGGGATAAGTTAATTGTGACGTTGCTACTTTTTAACTGAATTACATACGCAAATGAACCACAAAGGGAACTTTAAAACAATGAATTAAATGCTGAAATACAAAGACTAGTTAGTGCCGAATGCACTAGTTGTTGCGTATGGCGTGAAATTTGAAGTTTGCTTGTCAACAATAGGGTCTCTTTTGTGTGTACGAACTGCCACACACACAGGGTTTACACGTAGGGTAATAGCAGGCGCGGATCCAGAGGTGGGGGTTTTTATACGCACGACCGATTACCCATGCAAGTGCTTAGAAAATATTAACACGAAAAAAAACAAATCTAACAAATACACTAAAAAATACATTAGTGCATTATAAAACGTACAAGTACATGTTTAAGGCCTACGTATACATTGTTTTAATTTTAATACGGCTTTAAAAAAATATAGAGGAAACCAACTTTACTTAATTTCATTATTCACCGTTAGAAATGACACACCAACATGGTCAAACTATAAATTGCATCAACAGCGATTAGATACCATGATAATCTCGAGAGAGCCACTGCTATATGCTTTAAACCCAATTTCCGTTGATAATTTTTTAGTGATAACCAACTTCTTGACGCCACCTATAGGACTTAGTTTAAGATATAATATGGTATCAAAAATAGACTGCAAAGACCTAAGAGGGATGCACTGCTATTACGAATGGAGCACGCCAAGTTAGCCTTTTCGCATTCGAGGCCGAACCCTTCAAAGCCCGGGCATTCCGCGAAGTCTTCAAGACACTGCAGCATCTTGCGGGCCTCGCGGTCCCCCGAGTCTAAACCCCCGGCGATGTAGCCATTCAAGTCGTCGGAAGTTGCCTCGCCGCCGAAGAAGAGGCGACCCACTCGGCTCTGGAGTTTCTGGCGGCATTTGGTAGGAACCTCCACGGGGACGTTGCTGTAGGAGCCTTTGGTGAGGGGATTCTGAGACCAGTCAGTCACCAGGATGTCGGTGGCTTCAGGGATGCTGTCACCGTACATGTCACGAAGGACTTGTTGTATCTCGGCTTTGGTCGTTTCCGAAGGTTGTGCCTCAACGCGCCGAGATTCATCGCCTAGTTGATTAAATACAAATTAATAATTGTCAGAGCAAAATGTTGTGAATCAAAACCATTATAGGTCATTGTGACACTGTAGTCAAAGGTGGCGCATCAATGATGAATATAAAAAGTCAGGACCCCCGAAAAACAACCAAGCACGAGAAAGTAACCAATTTTCTTTGGTTACAACTACGACGCGGAGCCTCTTCGTAAACTTCGTAAATTGTGTGGAGAATAATAAGTCTGAAAGATATAGCGCACAACAAGTAAACTGTTGGAGGATATCACGCTAGAAGGATATTTACTAGATATCCACCTGGTAAAATGTTAAGCATGACCACTACTGGTTGGGGTATTAGTACATTAAAAAAAAAAAATTTAAACGAAGTCAATCAAGGAAACTAGGAAACTAGAAATTACCAGCAACAGTGACCAGCATCATTGGTGTCCCGCTAGGAAACAGCCCATCTGCCTGGTAGTTGAGAAACAGTGGAAAATAACCTCTTCTCTCGCTGGCGTAGAGAATCCATTCAGAATCATCCCAAAACTTGCTGGGAAAGCTAACATAGATGTTGGTGTACGCGGCCATCTGAAATTTCTTGATCTCAACATCTTTCCATTCTGGGAGAGACGGGATGAACTGAATCAAATTATTCTGCAAGACGCCAATGCTGAAGGTGATAAGAACGTACTCACTGATGTATCGTGTGCCATCCTCACACGTCACAACTACTGACGCGTCATTTCTGTAATCGATGGATACCACCTTCCGGTTCAGGCGGGTGTGGTTGATGTATGCTGGCGTCTTCAGGAAACCAGCAACCTCATCAAAGATTTGTTCGAATCCTCCTTCGTCAGTGATGTAGTCTATGGTCTCCTCGCTCTGCGGTGCAACAGCTGCTTTGGTAGAAGAAACCTCAGGTGCCTCTCCGTACTCGAAGTCATAATCAAACCATTCAATCGCCTTGTCAATCGCACTCTGTGGTACCCACTCACCAATTCGAAGGGCAGAACGCATGGATATGTCTGGTATATCGTCATTTTTCTTCAGTCTTGCACTCAGTTCGTGAAGTTTTTCGATGCCTTTTTCTAGACGCTCGTAGTTAGCATCGGCCTCGTCAGTCACATCGTGCCCGGTCGCGTTGCGGATAGTCAAGTTGTCATAATCACTCGGGTGACGACCTAAGTCGAGATCGCGGACAATTTGGTCAGTTTTGGAGTATTCTGGGGCTGCCCACAGTGCCCCAAGCCCCACTGTGTAGCCAGCGAATTGTGTGCTCTGGACGCGTCCACCGATCCGATCAGCAGCCTCAACGACGATAAAGTCATCCATTCCAGCATCGTGGAGAGTCCTGGCCGCTTGTAAGCCAGAAGCCCCCGCCCCCAAAATCAAGATTCTGGCTTGATTGTCGGCATGATCGCCAAGTCCCTGTGTGAAGAGACATAATAGCAAAAGATCGAGAAAACCGTACACTTGAGGAAACATGATTGGCTATAATGTAAACGAGCCCGTAATGGAGTAGATCGTCTGACACGTGTATATCTTTCGTGCACTGTAATATGTTGACAGGCTGACCGTGAGGTATAACTTGATTATGTGACCTTTTGTCATTCTAATTCACATGGTCAGCTGATCCTTGATGGCATATCCCATAATAGTTCCTGGGTCCATCTGTATGGGTGTGTTATTTTGTTCTATACCGGATTTTCGCTGGTTACGCATGAGTATATATCTCGTCGACAGAGGTCAGCCGTAAAACCTCAACAGCACTGGGGCTGCATGCATGAAAACACTCTGGTTAAATTTGACTAGAAACCAGTCAAAGCTGCGGCACCCACCTGACCCTGTAGCCAGGCTAGGCCAAGTTCTCGCACTATAGTTGACCAATGGTTAACTAACGTTTGCCCGAACTCTGTCTAGTCGACGGTGGTTGACTACGCTAGTCGACTATTTGGAACCAGCCTACTGGGGTTGGTTGCTTCGCTGGTAACCAATAGCCGCGCGCATTCATAACGCTAGCAGAGAGCCAGGATCCAGAAGTTTTGCGATGACATTTTGACCAGCGTTTGACTAGAGACGTTCGCACGTTGCTATCAGAGCGCAGGCGTAAGGTACGTCACAAATCAACCACTAGTCGACTAATGATCCTTGCCCGAACTTGGCCCTAGCTGTAGTCAGCTAGCTGCGCGTTTGACTAGGTATTTTACAGTGTAGACTTCGGATTTTTAGAACCCTCCCCCTCCCCCGTTTAGCCGCTGACAAATCAAGGGGCCGTCCATAAATTGCGTAAGCACGAAATGCCGACTTTTTAGACCCCCGTACGCATGGCATACGCAGTGGTTCCAATGTCGACTGCTACACAATGTTGCCATTGGGCTTCCAAATACTGTGACGTTATCAAACCGAAAGTTTGAATTTATTAATATATAACCTTAAACATCCATTATAATTTCCATATGTACACAAGTTCTCTACTCCTCATGATGACGTAATCACACAGGAAATACGTACATTTGGTGTGCTGAAATGAATCAAACCAAAAGGGTGCATTTTGTTTTCAGATAAAAGAAATGTTTTTCACGGGAAAGGCTTAATTTCGTGTTGTTGTTGTGGTGGATGAAGTGGGGTTCAAGCGAACTAACGATGACAAGAGGACGTGACACCGTGGTGGAAACGTTGGCTCGAAGGGCAGATCAAGGACCTCCGAAGGGATCTGAGTAGGAGTCGAAATGTATAGTAGCCACCGCACTAAGCTGAAACTACAACGGGGTAGTTGTGTCGCCATCACCATTTGGTTTTGGGTTGGTAATTCTTTCTATCATGTTTTGGGGTTTTTTTCTGTACAATAATTCCATTAACCCCAATAATTTGATACCTAGGAATCTAAATAACACATTCTTGTTGAGATGAGTTGTTTAACTTTATAAGCTGGTGTGATGTTTCCCCTGGGATGCGTTACCGGCTATAATGATACAGATACAGAGATATCGCCGATGGATGGCAGCCATCTTGGATATTTCAAAATAGCCGCCATCTTGGTTTTCATTACCTAACGTTGCACCTGAATATCGTATGAAGTCCACTTTGGTGGCAAACCCTATGTTTTGATACCAAGGAACCCAAGTAAAACATTGTTGACGGGGTACTCCCAATGGATGGCAGCCATCTTGGGTACTTTGGTGGCAAACCCCATAAATTTGATACCAAGGAAATAACACCTTGTTACCTCGATGGATGGTAGGTTTTTCTTGAAAGAATGTTTGATTCCACAGATCGAACAATACTACGAGTGTTACCTCGTGGGCATCAACAGCGCGGTTATAAGGACTGCTGGATATGATTTGATTGACTCTTACCTGACTGTACAGATCAGAAGTTAAAGCAGCAATCCAGACTTGGTCTAAACCTGCGCACTTGTGTTCAATCGACTTTCCCTGGAACTATGGTGATAGCACATACCACTTCCCCTTGTACTAGTTACTGAGATGTTCAAGCTTAATTCGCTGTTCAAGCTTAGTTCAGGAATAAGGCCAATTGCCAACTACAGACAGTATTCACACAGCAGCATAGCCCAATATTTCCAAGAATTGTGCACTTTGTGATATAAGCATGAACTTCGCATGTTGGTTCTTCGTGCCATGATTTTTTTTTTCAGATATGAGGCATTACATATCTGACCTATGGTGACCTTTGAGTGTCAATGACCTTATAACAAGGTCTACGTCATAGGCCTTCATGCAATGAAAAAGATGATCAGATTTGGGAACAATTCATATCTGACCTCCGGTGACCTTTGAGAGGTCAATGACCTTTGTAAACCTTATTTATAGCTATTTGTACTTTTTCTCTTTAAACCCCAATTTTTTTCACGATCCAAGTATAAATGGAAGGTGTTTGTGCTATGAAAAGAATGTGCATATATAGGACATTAATATTTAACCTCTGGTGACCTTCTGAAAGGTCATGACCTATCTATAGATATTGATAAGGTTTACTCTTGTGAATGCCACTTTTTCATGACCCAAGTCTAAAAGTTAACTATTTGTGCCATGAAAAGAATTTTCAGATGTTGGGACTTCATTCCTGACGTCTGATATCCTTCGCGAGTTCATTGAACTTCGTATACATTATTTGTCGCTATTGTCATATTTCTTCATGACCCAAGCCTCAATAGTGCCATAGAAAGGTATTGCACCTATTATTCTACAGTCATGTTATGAATTCAGGGCCCAAATTTAAGACGTGCATTCATAATTCACATTTGTATAAGTCACATTCCATCCAAATCAAATGTTATATTGTAAATCAGTATATTTCATTTTCCTTCAGTTTTTCTACAATTATGCTAAGAAATTAATTAATTAATATATTGACCACTGATTTAAATTATAGTTTCAATTATTGTTTATTTCATAAGTTTTTCACAAACAGGGCCAGGCTCTGTATAAGCTTAGGCTTCTTCCTGGTTCCCCCATCTGTCACCATTTATGTTTAATTGATCAAAGTGTTGTACATGTATTAGCATTCTATTAAGTTTAGTTATTGTAGTAAATAAATTGTTGCATTAGCATTATATTAATTTGTGACAAATGGAAAACAATGCAATACAATACAAAAATTTTGAGGGACCTCTGAACTCCATTTTCCTTTTTCTTAATGGCACACGCAACATGATACAATTGTAATATTTTTTGAGACTGTTTTGCAATGGAATATTTACAAAAAGTATTGACTGAGTTGGGGAGGCGAAATGTCCCTGCCCCCCTCTAAAACTGATAAATCGAGAATATATGTTGAGAAATACAGGAATTTTTTTTGGGGGGGGGAATATGTTTTGACCCCCTCTAGAAAAAATCTTGGCGACGCCCATGCTCTTGTGTGCTTATTACACTCTGTTGCACAGTGGGTCAGAATCGCCTCAAAAGTGTGCCGAAATTCAAAATTAAAATGATAAAAGTGGCAACCTTGAAAAACGTGTTTTGATATATGAAGGAGAAAGCAGTCAACTTGTTACTGCTAGCAGTTCTTACCCATTAGTAGCCAAATTAGAAAATAAAATTCAAAATGTAAAAAACGTAAATTTTTGAAATTATGATCAGTAAATTTGACCCATAAAACACCAAAAAGTGCATTTTTAAAATAAAATTAGTGCGATAGTTAGGATTCTCGCCGATTCCTGCCAAGATTTTAATTTCGACGTTTCCACCCAAGCCTAAGCTTTACGTTGAGGCCAAGGGTTTTTTTGCTAGAATTTGCTATACTGCATGTAAGAGGCGTTTTAAAGGCCCCATGTTCGCCTTTTTTAATGAACTGTACATGGTACTGTACATGTTTATACTTTTAATATAAATACGTGTAAAAAGAAAAAAAGGCACTCTTTTGTAATTGGAGCGATATTCATTAAATTTTTTAAACTTATTTAAGGAAGAAAACATCCTAAAGAATATTTTTCAACCGTATGAAATTTTTTTTGTAAGTTTTTATGGTGTCATATACCCCTGTGAACAGGAAAAAGTACGAATGCTGCTCTTAAAATGATCAAATTTGGCAACTTTGAAAAACGCGTTATGACCTTATGAAAGAGAAAGCAGTCAACTTGTTACTGCGTGCAGTTCTTACCTATTAGTGACCAAATTAGAAGATAAAATTCAAGATTTTATGCAATGCCTCCATATCCAAAAAGGTTCGTCATGGCATGAAGACCCGACATGCCAAGTTTCATGCTTTATCCACAAAGTGCACAATTCTGTCGCGATCGCTTTACTATTGCCAATTATTAACAATCCAGCCCATGAATGGTCAACACTTGTCACCGTGCTAGACCCTTTTCAAACTCATCTGCATCACATGACGAGGCAACCCTGGTCCTGTCATGGTTACACAAGTTCGATACCAAATGGACTTCATACGACATTCGAGTCCAAATTTATTATCCAAATTATGTCCAAATTGGCGGCCATTTCGACATATCCCAGATGGCTGCTATCCATTGGAAGTACCACATCAACAATGATTACTTGGGTTCCTTGGTATCAAAAACATAGCGTTTGCCATTGCAACCAAAATGGACTTTATATGACATTCAGGTGCAATGTTATTATTTAAATGAAATCCAAGATGGCTGCTATTTTAAAATATCCAAGATGGCTGCCATCCATCGGGGATACCTCATCAAGAATGTATTATTTAGATTCCTTGGAATCAAATTAATGGGGTTTGCCACCAAAATGTACTTCATACAACATTCAAGTCAAAATTTATTATGCAAATTAGTTCAAAATGGCGGTCATTTGAAATATCCAAGATGGCTGCCATTCATTGGGAGTACCACATCAACAATGATTTACTTGGGTTCCTTGGTATCAAAAACATGGCGCTGGCCACCAAAATGGACTTCATACGACATTCAGGTGCAACCTTATTATTCAAATGAAATCCAAGATGACTGCTATTTTGAAATATCCACGATGTCTGCCATCCATCGGGGATATACCTCATCAAGAATGTGTTATGTAAATTCCTTAGTATCAAATTTATGGTGTTTGCCACCAAAATGGACTTCATACGACATTCGAGTCCAAATTTATCATGCAAATTAGTTCAAAATGACAGCCATTTTGAAATATCCAAGATGGCTGCCATCCATTGGGAGTACCACGTCAACAATGATTTACTGGGGTTCCTTGGTATCAAAAACATAGGGCTGGCCACCAAAATGGACTTCATATGACAATCAAGTCCGCAGTTATGATACAAATTAGGTCCGAAATGGCGGCCATTTTGAAATCCAAGATGGCCGCCATATGGTAGATGGAAAAATGTTACCAATGGATTTCTCCCTTAGGAAGCTAAAATCTATCCAAATATGAAACCAAAAATTCCTTATTT